AGCTCTCTCTGAGACTGGACCCCTAGTGCCTGGCTGTGGTCTTGACCAGGTCCATTGGGATGCGTGAGGCTGGGTGAGGGGCTGGAACGCCACCTGGGTGAGGGGTGGGGGTTCGTTCCGCCTGTGCATGGTCCTCACATGTCCCTGAGGCTCCATCTACATTTTTTGTTGAGTGGAAAAAAATCTGCCTATGAAGAGATGACTTCAGGCCAGGCTTCTGGAGCTCATATGCCAAGGGCGGCAGAAACGGAGTCAAGGTCATGGGTTTCGTCATCGCTGTGGCCAGTGGGCTCTGCTCTGAGGGACTGCACGCTACATCTGCCCAGCTGTTTGGCAAGTGCCCACCTTCAGTCACGAACACCCCCACCCTCCAGGATCAGGAATGAGGGACAGGGGAACAAGTTTCGAGCATCTGCAGCTTCATGGTGGGCGAGAGCTGGGATCTGGGGTCAGACAAACCCAGGTTTGAATCCTGTCTCTGCTGCTTCCTTGTTGTAAGACCTCGGGCACATCACTTCACCTCCCTGGGCCTCAAATTCTCATCTATAAACTGGGGTTCATAAATAATAGACTACATAGGTTGCTGTAAGGTTTTCCTGAGTGACTGTATGCCAAGTACATAGAACAGGACCTGGTGCTTAGTAAATATTAAAACAATGGTAGCTGCCATCATTATCACCGCCACTGTCATTGTCACCATTGTGTTTGGAAGCAGCATAGCTAGTGGCAAAGAGCATAGGCTTTGGAGCCAAACATATGCATTTGGACATTTTTCTAGGTTGCATAGCATCCTCACCAAATTCACGTCCTTCCTGGAATCTCAGAATGGGACCTTATTTGGAAATAGGGCCATTGATGATGTCATTAATTAAGATGAGGTTATACTGGAGTGGGGTGAGCCAATATGACTGGTGTCCTCATGAGAAGAGAAGACACAGAGACAGACGCAGGGAGAAGGCCCTGTGACAGCTGGCAGAATCGGAGTGATGATGTGTATACAAGTCGAGGAACGTTTTTTTCTTGCCACGTAGAACCATGACCACATCAACTCCCTTTGACTACTCTTGTCCTTGAAAGAAAGCACCATCCTCAATCCCCACCTCCCTAAGTAGGAAGCACCTAGGTCATAGAAGAAGGACAGTCTTTCCAACTGGAGTACCTTTCGTTTATGAAATTCCACGTTACCAACTTCATTTTCTTCTGTTGCCGTGAAGGGGACAAAATGTGGCCAGCCTAGCACTGGTCCAGCATTGGGAACTATCGGGGTAGGCTGATGTCACGGATAGATGACGGCATGCGGGGGGACAGGGCCAACCAGATTCACAGCTGGGCACTGTGGACGCCTCCCTGAATTTGCAGGCCACAAGCAGTCGCTGTTGATTCTTGAGCAAAACCAGGCTTGAGGGGCTGGCTCCCCATTGGCAGGTAGTCAGATTAGAGGCAGGAACATCTGGGGAAAGGAGGACAGTTACGAAGTTGCTGATTTTGCATCCAAAGTCTTTACAAATGGCGTTGCCTTTGACCCAGTCATTCTGCTTATGGGAATGTATCCAAGGAAATGAACTAGTGCTTATATCTAATGGATATAGAGACATTCTTAGTAACATTGTTCATTATGAAAGTTGGAAACAACACAAGATGGGATTGGGTAAGTCCATTATTAGGGATTTATACAAAGGAGATACTTTGTAGCCATTAAAAATGATTTTGAGGGCCTGCGGGGTGGCTCAGTTGGTTAAGAGCCCGAGCTCTGAGCAACAGTGTCGCCAGTTCGATTCCCACATGGGCTAGTGAGCTGCGCCCGAGCTGAGCTGCCGCTGAGCTGCCACGATGGCTCAGCTGGCTCCTAACATCAGGGTTGCCACTTTGAATTCCACATGGGATGGTGGGTTTACCCACTCGCAACTAAGATTGAACACTGTACCTTGAGCTGAGGTGCCCTGAGCTGCTGACGGGTGGCCAGATGGCTCAGTGGTTAGAGCGTGCGCTCTTAACAACAAGGCTTCTGGTTTGACTCCCGCAACTAAGATTAAACACAACATCTTGAGCTGAGCAGCCACGAGCTACCGATAGGCGGCCGGATGGCAACTGGACTTGGAGCTGAGCTAGCTGCGTCCTCCACAACTAAGACTGAAGGATAAGAACTTGGCTGTTCCCCTTCCCCAGTTCCCTAACACTGTTCTCCCCCAGTTCCCCAATAAAACCTTAAAAAAAATAATTTTGAATGGACTATTTGACCTTCTGGAAAGATGTTCACAATATGTTGTTCAGTGAAAAGAATCAAGTTAAAAATAGTATTTATTTATACTTAAATAGAAATCCTGCTTATAATACTTTGCATTTGTGTAGGATGTACTTGTGTGTTTACCAACATGCATAAAAGTTTTGAAGGTTATATGCAGAAATACAAATGACCATTTCTGGTTGGTAGAATTCCCTTCTGTTTTTGCCCATCAGGAATTTCTGTGTACAGTTCATGGGGAGGCACTTGTCAAGAGTTCAGATCCTGGAGTTGTACAGACCTAGGCTTTGCCAGTTACTGGCTGTGTGTCTTTGGGCACGTTACTTAACCTATCTGGGCTTCCATTTTCTCCTCTGTAAAACGTTCCTGAGACTTGGACCTACCAGTGCCAGGGAGAGTTCAGTGAGCTAATAATAATTCTCAGGAAGTATGTCAGCACATGGCCTGCTGCTCAGGAAGCATTTACTAAATGTATCTCTAATGTATATGTAATTTTTTTTTTACAATGAACATGTATTATTATGTAATAAACAAATAACGAACGTTGAGTAAAATTACTGCTCTTCTCAGTCAAACCAGAACTTGAGGACCTCAGATTGGAGCAAGGCTGCCTTTGCTTGTCTGTCTCGTGTGAGACCGCCGGCTGGAACACAGACAATTGCGTGTTCCTATCAGCAGGGCTGGTTCCCATTCACGGAGCCTTCGCTCGGTGCCAAGCTCCCTGCGAGATATTTCCCTGCTTGGCTTCGCTGAGTTCTCACAGTGATGGTTCTCGGCTAGGAGAGCTGGTGCTGTATGCCTCGTGTTACTTGGGACAGTGAAGTAAGCTCTGAGAGGCCCCGTGGCTGGTGAAGGACGGAGCCAGGATTCCAGACAGATCTGTCTGAGGTCAAAGGCCGAGAGTTTGGCTGAATTCATTGCTGCAGAGTTCAGAGAGAGGGGGGGCAGTGGGGAAGGCTTGCTAATATCCAGAGCAGGCGAGGAAGTGGGTGTTGGACGTGAGTGATGCAGAAATACAGAACAGAGAGCCTGGGGCCGCCAGGGGGTGACTCTTCAAACATATGGCAGAAAAACTGGTGTCTAAGACTCTATTCCTTGATAGTTGCGGATGAATGCTGGATAATTCCACGGGTTCCTTTTCTAAGAAGGACCCAGGCCTGCTGACCAGTTGCCAAGCGTGGGAATTTTGTTTAGGGTAACTGGAATTTAGAATTCTCGAACTAAAAATAGCCCATTACTAGATAGAGTTCACCAGAGACTCAAATGAACTATTCTCCTAAGCGATCTGAGGCCCACCCCACCTTGCAAAACCCCCATTATGCACGTGTCCACATGGTAAGTTGGAATTCTAGCTCCGTTTTCAGTCTCGTGTTAGCTGTGGCTTTCAATTACTGCTATTTAAAAAAGAAAGAGAGAAAAAGAACCTTTTACTAGAAAACATTTAAAATATATACAAAGTAAGCAGAATGGTATAATGAACTCCCACATCCCCATCACCCAGCGTCACCAAATATAAAAAAAAAGTTGCTGCCATTCCTGTGTCACCTATACCTCCTCCCACCTGCCACCCCCCCACTCAAACGATGATCATTTTTATCGTTCTTTTCTTATGAGGTGAAATTTACATACATTGAAATGCACAAATCTTCACACTTCCGACAAAGGGGAGACACCGGTGGAGCCCACATTCCTCTCACAATACGGAACACCTCTGCCGGCTCAGACGGTTCCTTTGCATCTCCCTGTCCTCCAGGCAACCCCTGCCCGGGGGTTTTTTCACCGTAGGGGGAATCTGCCTGTTCCAGAGCTTCCTATAAATGGAACCATATAGTGTGCACTCTCGTGTCTGGCTTCTCTCTCGCAGCATGAGGTCTGTGAGTCTCAGCCACGTGGTTGCCTGCACTGGTAGCTTGTTCTGTTTCCTCGTGAGTAGTATTTGATTATATGAATATACCAGAGTTTGTTTATTCATTCTCCAGTGATGGACACTTGGCTTCTTTCTGGTTTTGGGCTGTTATGAGCACGATTGCTATGAAACATTTGAGCACAAGTCTTAGCATGGACATATGTTTTCATTTCTCTTGGGTAAATACCTAGGAGTGGAAGGACTGGATTATGTGGGAGGTGCATGTTTAACTTTTGGGACATTTACATTTGTCTTCCAAAGTGGCTGAACTGTTTTTTGCGTTCCCACAGACAGTGGATGAAGGTTCCCGTTGCTCTGTCTCCTCACCAGCCTTGGGTGCAGTCAACCTTTGTCATTTAATTCTGTTCTTTTTAAATGAGCTAATATATGAGTGGAGTTTCTGGAAGATTTTACTCTTGTTGATCAATCAGCGTGGTGTCGTCGCACAGTTGCTGTGAGGTCCACAACATTTTTTGCTTGATTCTCTGTTTGTCTTCCCAGAATTGCTTCCCCAGGTGGTTCCTTGGGGAGCCAAGGTCACAAAAGATGGGGAACTTCGGTGCTAAGGGAAGAGCTGGAGCTTTGCCCTCTGCCTCATCGCTGCACTGCCCTGGGGCTCTGGGTCCTTTGGAGCTGGGTAGGGGCCGCGTGACCTGACCTCGCGTACAGGTCTGACCCTGGCAGGCCTGGAAGCTTCTCCCTCACCACTTCCTGTTTTGTGGGGTTTTCTGAGGCTCAGGCCTCGGCTCCTCTCACTTCTGGTGGCACATCGTGTCACTGTTGCCCCGACCCATGGAGGCCATGCACCTGGGAGTCGAAGCCCACCTGGGCCCCTGTCTCTCTCCCCTACAGATATTGGCCCAGTGACCCTCACGGCGGACCCAGCGGTGTTTCAGAGGGAGCTGAGAGAACTCTACGTGCAGGTGGGCTGTCCTGCCCCTGGCTGCTGGCCCTCTGGGCTGTGCTTCCCAGTTCATGCCAGGGGCCGAGGTGGCGGCTTCCTGCAACCACCAGTACCTGCCTCCCAGCTCTGCCTGTGGCCTGCACCCCAGCATGGGGTCCTGGAGATTCTGTACATCTTGGGGTTCCCTCCTTTATTTATTAAACCAAGTACCTACAGGAGCCCCTGTGCCTGCATAGTAGGTGCTTATGGTTTAGTGACTGGATGAAGGGGTGGAGGAGGATGTGGTAGCTGAGGGAAGAGGCGACAGGGTGCAGTTCAGATTCCCAAAACCAGGCCTGAGACTGGGTCAGACACCCCATGGCCACCCGGGCTTTGCCACACACAACGCCCTGGTTTGGCATCCTTCCCCCGGGTCCTTCCCTGCCCACTGAGACCAGCATCTTTCTGAAGGCAAGGACCCCACCTATTGGTCTAGTTCACTGCCAGACCCCCAGGGCCCAAGAACAGGGCCCCGCAGAGAGGGTGAGTGTGGGGCGATTGAGCGAGCCGAGGAGAGAGGCGTTTCCTGCAAAGGTACCACGTGCCGATCGTGCTGCCGGTGCTGAGTGTGCAAGCCTGGGTGAGACGGGACGGGCTCCCTGCTCGCAGAGAGCTCCCGTCTGCTGGGTAGGGACGGAGGCATGCGTGTTTCTTTGGGATCCATTCCAGGACAGGTTACAAAGAGGATTTGGGGAGGTGGCTTTGACCGTTTCCCTCTGCCCAGAGCCCACTGTTCCTTCCCCTGGCCGCCCCTCTAACCCCTCAATCCTCCAGGCCTTGGCCGACACGTGGCTTCTTTGGGGCATCTGTTACATATCCCACCCCTCCTCCCCCACTTGTAACACTCATCACCATGGTAATTAAATCATCATGTTGTGCTTATTAATGGAGAGCCTGTCTGCCATACCAGACCCATGGGAGGGACTGTGTCACTCTTGGCTGAGTGAGTGAAGGCATGATGCTGGTTGTCTAAACTTAAAGCAGGTTGGATGCCGCATTGGGTCTTAGGGAAGGATGTGACTGGGCCCTGGCCAGACCCGTGGATGGGCAGGACAGGGGAAGCTCCAGGGGAGTCCCTCCTTCCTGTCGGTTTCGGAGGTGTCCCTGGGGGCCCACCTGGAGGAGGTGGGCCGCAGCCGCTGACACGCCCCTGTGCTCCAGGGAGGAGGTGACTGCCCCGAGATGAGCGTGGGGGCCATCAAGGCTGCTGTGGAGGTTGCCAACCCTGGCTCCTTCATCTACGTCTTCTCGGATGCCCGCGCCAAGGACTACCACAAGAAGGACGAGGTGCTACGGCTCCTGCAGCTTAAACAGTCTCAGGTGAGTGAACCGCTGTGTGGTATTAGGGTGGGGGACCTCAGGGGGTCCTGAGGAAGCTGGGGTCCCCAGCGTGGGCAGCCCTGAGCCCCTACCTGGGGAGCGGAGGCTGGGTGTTTCTCGTGCCCCTCCTGGGGGGCGGCCCTCAGCCCCTAGCTGCTCTGGTGAATTCCAAGTGTGTTCTTGTGCTCCAGGGCCCTGCTCACCAGGGCCCTCTTCTCCCTGGCGAGGTTGTTCTTGATAATGCCACACCATCCTCGCCTTTCACACCCTGTCAGCGTCCGTGCAATCCACCTTCCTCCTGGCATTGCCCCCGCTCCCCACCTCTGCTGTGGACACACGTCACCCTTTTTCTGTTGTCTCAGAAAGACATGCTGGGCTTTTGCTTTCCTGGGAGGGGTGGGGGAAGGGATGCACATGGGGAAGGAAGAAAGGCCAGCCTGTTTGACATCCTAGGATAAGATCTCACTCAAGGGCTGGTGTGGCTTCTCTGTTCTCCCGTCTAGAAGAAACTCAGTTCTTTTGACTGTAGCCTGCAGGGCCCACTCGGAGCAGTCGATTTCCATGGGGTGGGTCTTCTTATCGTTCCCGTTTTACAGATGTGTCAGCTGAGCCCAGAGAGAGGCAAGGGCCTGCCACAGTCAGTTCCTGGGTTTTGTCCTTGCTGCTCACACCTGGCTCATGGCCGGGAAAGCCATGAGCCAGGTTGCATGCCTCTCTTCCAGGTGGTCTTTGTGCTGACGGGGGACTGTGGGGACCGCACGCATCCTGGCTACCTGGCCTATGAGGAGATTGCTGCCACCAGCTCTGGGCAGGTGTTCCACCTGGACAAGCAGCAGGTGACCGAGGTGAGCCTTCCCCGACCGTCCTGCGTCTCTGGGCGGCTCTGCCGGTGACTGGGTCACCATCATAGAGGAACAGAGCTGAGTGGTCGCCCTGGGACAGGCGCAGGAAGTGCTGTACTCAAGGCTTCATGACACCATCTCACCAAACCCTCCTACCCACCCCAGAGGCATATGCTACGGGTTCTCTTGATTTTGCAGGTAAAGAGACTGGGGCTTGAAGAAGCACCTGGCTTTTAGCCTGGTCCCACTGCTGGTCCAGCTGGCAGGATGGACCTAGCAGAACTGGGGTGTGGGGTGAGCTCCCCAGAGTCAGGGAACCCAGAGGTGGGTGGAGGAGCAGGAGCGGCCATCAGACTCGGGCCATGTTGCTGGGACAGGAAATCCTGCTTGGGGACTTGGTGGGGCGGGGCTCGCTTGGCTCTGTGGCCCGATGTGCAGGCCTGGCAGTAGCCTGGATTTGCTCAGCCCGGCGCTGACCAGGTGTCGGCATCCTTACCTTGCTCTTGCATCAGGTGCCTGCCCTTCCTCTCCTCCAGGCTCTATCAGCCGCTTTCCCTCTACCCTCCACGCCCTTTCCTTCTCAGGAGCTCGAGGCGTCCTTCCAGGGAAGGGCTAGTAAAGGTTTCTCAGCCATCTCCCTGGAAAGAACGACATCGCTCATTTCCATGGTGTAAATACTCCTGCCTTGACTGATTTCAAGCTGCCGTCATGAACTCATTGAGCAGAGTTGGGAAGCCGACTTTCTTGAGCCTGTATGAGCCGGCTCCAGCGTCCCATTGGATCCTTCTAAAACAAATCTGACCCACGTCCCTCCCGTTGTCCCTTGGAGAAGGTCCAGCCCGTATCTGACCTCTGCCCCTCTGGTCCCATGGCCTGTGACCTCCCCTGTGCACATTGCTGCCACTCTGTTGGCCTCTTGCTGTGTCTTCCATAGCTCATGTCTTTCCTACCCCAGGGCCTTTGCTCATGCGGCTCGTTTTTCCGCCCCGTCTCCCCCGGCGCCTTCTCGTCTTCCCAGTCTTAGCTGAAATGCACCTCCTCAGGGCAACCTTCCTTGATTTCCCATGAGGATTAAGTCTCCTTTCATATCCTCTCCCAGCTCTTTTACCTAATTGTAATTTTGCAACTGTGAAATTATTTAATGTCAGTAAGCTGTGAGCTCCCTCAGGGCCCCTCCCTTATGGGTCCCGTCTGCTACTGTCTCCCCAGCACCTCTCACGGCCACCAGCACATAGCAGGTGCTTGGTAATTAGCCGGTGCGTGGACAGATGCAGGGTCCCTTGTGCCTGAGGCCCTGGGAAGAGGAAGGCAAGAGAGGTCTCGGCCTGGAGCCAGCCCTGCTCTTGCCTCCTAAAGAGAGTTTTGTGGGTTGTATATTTATGGACTGAAGAGAACGGCCCAGGCCATGTTTAGATTAGCGTGCCTTAACTCCCTGTTGACAGATGGCGTTTATGGTTCTCTGTGACACATTAGGCTTTACTTTTTGGCATGTCTGCCTATTCTGGCCCTGAGCCTGCCAAGTGAGCGTAGAAGGCATTTCAGAGTACAGGGATGGATTGGTCCTGTCCCTGTTTGGTGGGGAGACCTATTTGGGCAATTGCAGGGGAACGGGGTTCCTGGCAGGGGCCAATCAAATGGCAGGGCCGCTGGGCGAGTCGGTGGAGGGCCGCTTGCCCAGGTGTGGGGCTGGGCTCCCCTGTTCTCTCCCTTGAGGCAGGGAGACTGGGGGGATGCGCTGGCTCCTGGCCCTGGTGGCAGCCCTCTGCCCTGGGAGCCTGGCTAGGCAGTGCGTGTCTGACTCGGCGGGACCTCCACCGGTCAGGCTTGGCCGCCTCTGGGTAGGGGCCTGGATCCCTTTCCTTCTGGACATAGCCCTGTCGTTTGTTAGCTGAATGCCTTGGACCTGGCCCCTTCCAGATGTTCCCAGACATTCGGCAGCCTGGGAAAGTGGCCTGGGCAGCGAGGGAGGGCCATGGTCATCCTCCCAGGAGAGGGAGTGGTACCTTTGCCCCAGCCACGGGGCTTCTGCTGGAGGAGGCCTCAGAAGTTGCACAAGTCCCCAAACCGTGCATGAGTGGTTAGTGCTTTTACTTGTCCTCCCTTCGTTTATTGAGCACTGGCTGTGCCGGGCAGCAGAGGGGTAATGCACCGAGCTTAAGCCCCAGTGCTTTTGCGCATTGTGCTTCTTCTAGCTGTGGGGTTGGCCTCACTGGCTCAGGGTGACTCAAGGAAAGTGAAGCCCCCCCTCTCCCTGGCGGGGGTAATTTGGAGCTGTTGCCACCCTTCAGCAGATGGTGGGTGGGTGGGCAGCAGGCAACGCAGTCCCTGGGGCCTGTCCCAGAGGTGTGCAGTTTTGATTAAGACTTAGCTGGGTCTAAGAACCCCCCCTTACCCCAGCACAGCTGTTCCGCGGGCTTCTTCCCAGCTCAGTGTATTGTCAGCAGCCCCAGGGGAATGGGTCAGAATTGCTGGGCAGACCCCCTCGCCCTGCAGCCTTCCTGGGTCCTGGGAGGCCCCGTTCTGAGGGCTCGGACCTTTTCCCTGTCCAGCACCAGCAGGTACACATACGGCAAATTGCCCAGATTCTGTGCATCAACCAGGGGAAAGGTGAACTGCCTTCTAAGACAGTCAGCGGGGGAGGGAGGTCTGACCAGGTGGCTCTGATTAACAGATCAGGAGGCATAGGCCCCGGAGATGACTTCATCCTGGACCCTTCCCAGAGGAGGCGGTGTGGGGAGGGCTAGGGCCACAGGCCGGCTTCAGACCCCAGCCCTGCCACCTGCCTGCACTGTGACCTTGAGCACAGTGCTGACCTCTCTGGGCCCCGGCTTCCTCGTGTGCACAGTTGGGTTATGAGAGCCCCAGCCTAGTGAGATGACAGTGAGGGTGAAAGGAACTAGTGCATGGGAATCCCCCGGTGCAAGGCCGGACACCGGGAGCCCCTGGTGAGGGTGGGCGATGACTGTGATTCCAGCCTCTGTGCTTTGGGGTGGAGCCTAGAATACTCCCTGCGGCCCCATCGAATCCCCTGAGGGGTAAGAGCTGTCTCTGGGAAAGGTTCTCAGGAAGGTGGAGCCTGGGACTCGTGCCTGGGCTGCCCAGCTGGCAAGGGCTAGTGCTCTCTGTCCATCGGTGCCCACGCGCTTCCTGACACAGGGCCTGGGATCCAGCCCTCAGTTTTCCAATCTGCAGCTCGGAGGCCCATTCGGGCCCTGGCTTCCCCTCTCTGCTTCCTCAGTCACCCTGGCTGTCAAATATCCTGGGAGGAGCCTCATGGGATGATTTATCTGCCGCGAACGGCTGAGTGACAGCCATCTGGCTGGGGCGACAGCGCCAGATTCTTTCCTTCTTTCCCCATCAGCCACAGAGAGATAAGGCCCAATGCAGTGCTGGCTCCCAGCGCACCCCCCACCCCCGTCCCAGTCCCCGCTAACATCTGGAAGCCATCGATTTCACCAAATAAACACTAAGCTTGCTTGATGAAGGCTCACTGCTCGAAAAGCTCCCTGGATTCCACTCTGAGCCCTGGGGGCATCGCAGGGGCCGGAAGGCCTTGCCCCTGAACCTGGGATTATAGGGGGTCTGGCCTCGCTGTGGGCAAGGGGTCAGTTCCCTCCCGTCCCCATCGGCTCCCAAGTGGTGATGTGCTTACAGGGCAGGCCCCCTAGGCAGGCCACCTTCTGGCGAGGTCACTGGCCTTCTGTCCCATCTTAGCCCTCCCCGTGGTTCAGTAGCCTGAACTCTTGGGCCTCTTCCCTGAATCACAACATTCTAGAATGAGCTTATGACAATTGCTAAACAGTAGCGGCCTGATTTGTCTGGGTAATTGTCAACTGGTGCTGCCACCACCTCTTGGCAGCTTTGCTCAGTTATGTTTGCCTCTTGCCACAAGGCCTGGCCCCCGGGGAAGAGGACAGTGGTCACAGAGCTGTTGCTTTGCAGTTGGGGGAGCTGCCTCACTTATTTTGCCAGCTTCTGTCTCGCTGGGAGCCTTGGCTGCTGCTTCCAGCCCACCCCGCATGGACGAAGAATCTCGCTCCCATTCCTTGGTGAAGACAGGTGGGACATTTTCAGGAAACACATTACTTAGAAAGCCAGGCAAAACAGAAGAATGAAGTAACTCCAAGTATAACAACAGATGAGTTTTCAGGACACAGAATTCTTATCCTGTGATAACTTAAATCCAGCTACGAAATCTAGGCACATATGTTCCAGCTCAGTCTGAACAAAACATATACATTTCTAAATCTCAGGCAGTTCTTCCAATTCCCTTCTTTTCCTTTCCCTTCCATGGAAGATCACATGGTAGGCAGATGCTGAGGGACAATGCTTTAGAGCAAAAATGGCCAGTATGTAGCATTCAAGGCACCACATGCTAATCCCATATCCATGGCAGACATTGCTAATCAATCACAGGCCGTTTTCTAATTGAGATGGATTGTGGCTTCTGATTTCTTCTTCTAACAGTAGTATTCCAGGAAGCCACTTCCAGTGGATTAGTTGCCAAGCAACAGGATACCACTGTGGTCGCTGAGGTATATATTAAAGTCATAGCATGCGTGTTCTTTTTTTTTTTTTTTTAAGCTGAGCCATCCTGCCACCTGTTGGCAGCTCAGCGGCTGCTCAGTTCGGGTTGGGAATCGAACCACTGTTGCTCAGAGCTCAAACTCTTGAGCGAGCTCTTAACCAACTGAGCCACTTGGCCGGCCCTTGCGTGTTCTTTTTAAGTGACTTTTACTTACAAAAATTACTGTGAAAAATGTCAAAGATATAGACGAGTAAAAAGAACATATGTACCAGCTAGATTTAGCAATTGACAATTTTGCTTCATCTCTCTCTCTTTATACTTTTGGCTGAATCATGACACCTTATCCATAAATAATTCAGCATGGATTTTTTTTTAAGACATAATCTCCAACATAACCTACAGTATCATCTAATTAATAGTATACTTTGCTAGTATCATCTGATGCTGACTTCATATTCAAATTTTTCTAATTGTCCTCAGGTTGTCTTTATAACCGTTTTTTTGTCAAATCAGGATTTAACCAAGGGAGGTGCATTTTATTTGGTTGTGATGTCTGTTAAGTCTTTTCACATCTGGAGCCATCTACCCTTTTTTATATGCCACGAACTCGTTGAAGAGGCACTGATTTTACAGTGTCCCGTATTCCAGATTCATCCGATTGTTTCCTTATGGTGTTATTAACTTGTTCCTCTATCCCCTATGTTTCCCCTAAACTGGGAATTAGCTCTAAATGACTGATTACACGGAGGCCACGATTTTTGGCAGGAATATTTCATAGTTGATGCTGTGTGTATTTTCTATTATATCACACCAGGAGGCGAATAATTGTCCTACAATTGTCTTATTGTCCTACTATTACTGATGATAAGTTTGATTGCTGGGTTAAGGTGATGACAGCCAGCCCTCCCATGTCGGAAGGCCGAGTTTTTCCCTTTTTGACTCCAGTGGTCTGTGGGTAATGCTGCTCCATGCAGACATCCAATTCCCCATCAACTTTTTTTTTTAAGTTTTTTTTTTAATTGGGGAACTGGGGGAGGGGAACAGTGCTGGGGAATTGGGGGAAGGGGGACAGACAAGTTGCTGTCGTTTTGTTCTTCAGTTTAGTTGTGGAGGACGTTGCTTCACTGCCCATGTTGGTATTATCATTGCGCTCTTCCCGGCTGAGACAGATCGGTCGCCGGCCCTGGATGGCTGTTCACAGTGGCTCTTGGCAGCTCACGCTGGCTGCCAGCCACACACTGTAGCTTATGGCAGCCCACTGCAGCAGGGGCTGCAGCCTACGCCATCGCCAGTGACTCACAGCAGCCCAGCTCCTGGTCGAGCTGTTGTTCACCATCTTAGCTGTAGAGGGCAGTGTCATTGGCCCCCATGTGGGATCCGAACCGGGGCCCTGCTGCTCAGAACTGGTGTCCCAAGCCAACTCTTAACCAACGTGCCACTCGGCCGCCCCCCCCCCCCCTCAACTTTTCATTTAACGGTTTTAGCCTCCACTGAGGATGCTTGCCTGAAACGCTTATTTCATTAGAAGTTGCAAAATGATGATTTTCTAATTACATCGGTCCTTCCACCTTTATCAGTGGGCATTCTTCCATGGAGAAGAGCTTTTGCTCATCCAAAGGGGTGAAGCACAATTCCTAGTGAAAAGGCAGGGATCACACTTCGTTCTTTCCTCTTTAATTAAGACATTGCCTTCATTGGTAGCAAGTGAGGATCTATTGCTGTGAATTTTGCATTTCTTTTTTGAGCATTATTATGGGCACATGGATTGCATAATTCAATGTGTTTCAATTGACTACAGTCATTATTCTATTTTGGGCTCAAATTATCCCAAATTTAGCCAATGGGAGCTTTTTAAAGCTGGTTTCTGTGTCTTTTGGATATGTCTCATTAGTCTTTGTGAACTCTCTTGCTTTATGGAATTACCAGTTGTCTCAGGCTTACCTGCTCCAGACCTGGAATCAGCCATTTCTCCAAGGAACCCTAGAGGGGAGTGGTATGAAGAAACCACTGGGTTCTAAATTCACTTGGAGTGAATTTATATGTAAATAAAATACCAGCAGCTCTCTTTTACATGTGGCTGTTAGAGAAAGTCTTGGTTCAGAAAACATTAACATCCTTACTTCTTTGCTTTAACCTACAAGATACACATAACAGTTTCATAATCACAATACCAATAGTTTTCCCAACTTAAAACTATTAAATGAAGGTTTCCTTGCAGTTCTTTTCGTCCTCTGGGTGCCTCCTACTGAGAAAGGACAGTTGAAAACCTGGGTTTTCAATTCACCTGGAGCTATTCCTTTCTCTCTGTGGTTATGGTACCAATTTGTCATACAGTCAGGTTCATGCTTCATTTTGTTTCGGTTTCTGGGTTTGCACAGGACGCTCCCTGAAGTGACTTGGCTTGGAAAGAGAGGTTCCGGCTGGAGGGGCCCACTCCTCTCCCTTTTTCCTGGTTTTTGTGCTGGAACCTGGGAGGCCTGGCTGTGGCCAAGGAAGAGGCGTGAGCTGGGGGTGGGGGCTGGTGGAATTGAGTGAGGCGTCTGCATGTGCAAGGTGAGCCTGAGAGGAGCCTGGTGACCCTGTTCAGGAGGGGTGTGGCCTGCTGTATCACACACAGTGAGCAAATGCTTCCTGAAGACCCACTCTGCGCCAGCCTCTGAGCTTGGGCACAGCACAGAGTCTGTGTCTACATGGGGCTTCCAGGCTAAAAATGGGAGACAGGCCTAGTAAATATGAATAATTGGGGTACAGATTGCTGCAAAGAGGTGTATTTGGGAACCGAACCTGTTCGGGACTGAAGGAACCTCTTCAAGCTGAGAGGTAAAGAATAACCGGGAGTTGGTTAACAGCGGGGGGGGGGGGCATTTCTGCAAAGAGAACAGGTGTGTGGTGGGGCCTCCCTAGGGAGGCATGAGGGTGCAGCCCAGCAGGCATGGGGACAGTCAGGAGCACAGTGGCCTTGGATCAGGCTGGACAGGTGAACCACAGGACATAGGGTCTTGGAGGCCATGGTAAGGATTTGGAGACACGAAATAATTCTGTGCTTAATGAGATACCATCTTAGACTGAATCCAGGGTTGTTAACATGAGGTCCAGTCTTTGAGGGAGTCAGAGAGCCCCCTAAAGTCATACTCTAAATGTGTACTTACGTGGGATGGTACTCTGGAGAGCATCCTTGTCTGTTACCTTGTTTTCAATGGGATCCACCCAAACCATGTAAGATTCTAGAGTGAAAAAGCAATTATAGAAACTAAGGATTTGTGATTTCTCAATATTATGAAAAGGCTCAGGAGGAGAGTACGTCTTTGCACCAGGTCCTCTCGGTCCTGCTTAGAGGGAGCATGGCACCGGTTGGGAGTGGTCTGAAGCCCCTTGGGGGGGTGATGGTGGACTACATTGGTCTGGGAGAGGTTTCAGATTTCCAGGGTTCATCCGTGTGTAGGAAGCATCAGGAGGGCTTTCCTGGAGGAAGTGGTGGGTGCCATAGAAGTTGTCCAGGTGAAGGAGGGAAGTCTTCCCAGCAGTAGGGCACTCCTTGCTCCTTTCCTCTGAGCTCCATCTTCCGGATGCCTCAACTCAGGTGTCACAGCTCCGAGAGGATAAGGATGTGTGAATTGGGCCTGGTTTGGCCCAGGGGGGCGTGGGGTGGCCTCAGGTGACCTGGAAAGCCTGTATATTGCCTAAAACCCATGGGGGCGGGGACCAGATTCTGCACACGGCTTGCATCCTGTTAGGGACCTGCCTTGGGTGGACCAGACACAAACAAAACATCACAGGCGCCTGCTGGCATCAGCTTCTCACACCCACCTCCCAGGTGCTAAAGTGGGTGGAGTCAGCGATCCAGGCCTCCAAGGTGCACCTGCTCTCCACGGACCATGAGGAGGAGGGCGAGCACACATGGGGTATCCCCTTCGACTCCAGCCTGAAGGAGGTCACCATCTCCCTGAGCGGCCCCGGGCCTGAGATTGAAGTCCGAGACCCACTGGGTATGTGCACCCCAGGACTGGCCTCCTCTTTGGCCCCCGAGACTGAGCTAGGAGTCAGGATGGGACAAAGAGAGAGACCCGAGGTGGCGGGGGTTTTGGACACAAGGCTCAGGGAGCTAAGAGGGTGGGGGATGCCTGTGGTGGGTGAGGAAGCTGGGAGGCCTGTCGAAGCTGATGGGGAGAATTAAAATAAGGACAGTCCCTGGGATCGAGGCTCCCATGATGTCTCCCCCACGCTGCCTCAGAGGGTCCCTACAGTGGCCTGGTGGGTCAGTCAGGGCAGGAATTCGTGCCACACTGTACAGTTGGGAAGTTGGAGCCCTGGGGTGTGGAGTGACTTGTCAGGGTCACCCAAGGTCAGTGTGACATGGACCTGGCCACCTGACTCCATGGTGCTCTGAGGCTGTCATGAACACCCCAGTCTAGTGGTCAGGTGGACAGCTTACCTGGGGAGAGATGAGATGGAGGCCCGAGCGCTGCCAAAGGCCTCTTGTCAGTTTCTCTGGGAAGCCTGAGACTGGTGTTTGAAGAGTTGTGGGTTGCTGGGGACAAGGTGGGGCCTCTGTCACCCCCTGGAAAGGGCGAGGGGCTGAGCAGTCCTGGGCGCTTCCATAGGAAGGATCCTGCAGAAGGACGAAGGCCTCAACGTGCTTCTCAACATCCCCGACTCGGCCAAGGTCGTGGCCTTCAAGCCTGAGCACCCGGGGCTCTGGTCCATCAAGGTAGGGGCACTGGGTCTCCAGATGGCGGCGTGACCAGCTGCACGTCGCTGAGACACCATCTCCCTCCTGCCTGCCCTGGGGTGCTGGGGAGCTGAGGGCTGGAGCATGGGTGGTGGTGTGGGCACAGCTATAGAAGCAAAGGGCAAGGACAGGGGAGGAGCATTCTGCTTTGCACCAGCAAGAGGAAGTGGAATGGTTTGGGGTTAGCTAGGGAACTTTTAGAAGGACTTAGAGAAACGATTTGTGTGTCCAGAGGTGGGTGACCAAGCCAGCTTGTGGTTCAGAGCCTTGCCGAGTGAAGAAGGTACAAAAGAAGCAAGGGTGACCCTGGGGGGATGGCTCAGGGGGATAAGGCTGGCGGGGAATGGGGCCTGTTCTAATCTGCAGGGGGCTGGAGGCCGGGGACCGGGGGCAGGCTGGACTCCCGACCGAGTATCCTGGGATGGGGCGTGCTGCTGCCTTGGGAGGACATGAGATCCTGCTAATCAGCACACACTACGGAGTGGAGCACCTACTGGGTGCCAGGCTCTGTGCTAGGGGCTGCAGGGGAAGTGGCAGCATTGACCCCTGCCCTTCAAACTCTGAGCATCGTCGAGCCAAGATCTGGAATGCCAGTGGGGGAGGCAAGGCGGGGGTTAGAGGAGAATGGGGGACAGACAGGCCCTGCGAGTGTCAGGGGAGGAGCGAGAAAGGCAGGACGGCCTCACGAGTCCCTCTGAGGATAGTGCTGTAGCTGGGGCTTCTTTCACTTCATTTGGGGAGAGTCTGGCTGGGCCCCCAGTGAGTACGTAAGTTGCCCACATGTCTGCAAAAGTGGGAAAAGTCCAGGCGCTGACATGGGGCCGGGTCAGGCTGGCCGCCCCCTGCCCCGAGCTGGGGTGCCGGGGTGGAACGCCGTAGTGATGTGGGCCTGGGCCTGTGCTAGGTCTATAGCAGTGGCCGCCACTCAGTGAGGATCACGGGAGTCAGCAACATCAACTTCCGAGCTGGCTTCTCCACTCAGCCCTCTCTGGACCTCAACCATACCATCGAGTGGCCCCTGCAAGGTAAAGTCTCCTGGAGCTGCCTTCTAAGGTGGGGGCAGCTCTCCTTCGAGAAATGGTGGGTGCTCGGGGGAAGGGGTCGACTGTGTGAACTGAGCCCCAGCGCCTGCACCCCTCCCTTGGCCCCAGCCCAGGTGACACTGTGACCACTTACCTTTAGAACATGGCTCCCTGCCCCCGAAGGCCTTCAGGACCTTAAGCTGTCCTCAGTACTACTGAGTTCACACTTTCCCTGTTCTCTTTATCAAAACTCATTTGTCTAGAACCCCATTTCTTCAGTTTTCCAGTGAACATCAGGCTCGTCCAATAAACTAATAGGTCCAAGTGAGTTGATAGCTTCTGGGAACAGGAGATCAGGGTCTTACTCAGAGAAATGAATGTGCTGATGGCCGTTTCGATGCCCTAGAAGCTGACAAGGGTTGGTAGCCTGGGGGGATGTTGACATTGGAAGCACAGGGTCAGTTTTCTGACTGGAGGCATTCAATGTGCCCCATCACGACTCCATCTGGACCAGGCAGGGGATTTTGGCTCAGGTTTCCAGAGCTCCATGCCAGAAAATACCATCTGCTGGCCAGGTCAGGGATCCTAACTTATAGTTTGGAAAATATGCTCCCTCATCATGGGGCTATTCGGAGGGTTTTGCTGTCACCAGCTCAGAAGAGAGAGGGGGAGGGACTGAGAGCAGCTCGGGCAAACTCTGGACCGCTGAATAGTGACCAAAAATGGTGTGTGCCAAACCCTTAGAGCTTTTTTTTGAGCCTGTATCTCCTTTACTGTTGGTCATTCTTAACAACCCTTGTGGGGTTCCCTGACAGGATCAGCAGTAACATCTTAAAAGCAAAGAAGGGGCTGCTCACTCATTTTGTATTTGTTTCTGCCGACAACAGGAAGGGGGACACGTAGGGAAACTCAATTTCTATTATAAAGCCAGGAGAGGAAAGAAATGCTTAATGGAGTGCTAGATTGGGGGCCGAAAACTGAATGGTCCCCAGGGCCAGTCCCCAGTGGAACAGGGCAGGGGATCACACGTGACCCTCTTGGGTTTCTGCTTTCAGTAAAGAAGTGAGTCCAAGGCATTTTTTTTTTAAAGAGAGAGATCAAGGCAATTGCAAATGATAAATAGTGTTTGGCTCCTGGTCCCAGTGCTAGGAGCATCAGGGAGGGGGAAGGGAGGAGGCTGTGGCTAACTGGACAGTGGGTGCCTGAACCCCCGGGAGCAGCCGCTACCAGGCCATTGGCTGATTATGAGGACCCAGCACTGACATGCTTGATTTCTGGAAGGAATCTGGACTTCTAGATTTTTATGTGCCCTTTCCAGATTGTTCAGTGTTTCTTCAAAAAGGTTAAGGCATTTTATGGACCACACCAGTCACATCCACTGGTCCCAGTTTATGATGTCTGAGAGAAAAGAAATTATTAACTGTCTGAAAAGAAAGAGCCCATACAGAACTTCCCAAATTAACGAAGGCAATTCTGAAACCCAAGTCCAGTTCTGTGTTCTCTGGGATAGTGGGAAAAGTACATTTCTCACAAGATAGACAGAAAAGAAAACCAAAGAAAAGCTGCGCGCGGGGAGAGGAGGGGTAGGAGCCAGTCAGAATTCCCAAACTAGGGCATGTTCTCATCTAGGTCATGTCCAGAGCCTGCCTGATGACGGCCATCGCCAGTGTTGATGGGCGGGGGTGGGGGGAATGCCTCTTCTCAGTTCTACTCCACGGAGGTGATGCCCCTTGGGAAGCCATGGGTTGGATGGACAGTGGCGTTTCAGGACCATGGACAGTACCAAGCCCCCCCACCCCCATTCCTAATCCCACCCCCAGCATTGTCACAGGGAAGAGAAGGTGAGGGAGCTGGAGTGGGTGAAGGAGGGCCAAGCAGGCTGGTTCCTGACCCGTGGTCCTAGGAACCCTTCCCGGGGAGGATCATGGAGCACACATGCTGGGGCACAGATACCAGTATCTCCTTCCTCGCCCTTCCATCTGCAGGGGTGCCCATCTCCCTGGTGATCAACTCCACGGGCCTGCAGGCCCCTGGCCGCGTGGACTCGGTGGAGCTCTCACACAGCTCAGGGCGGCCCCTCCTGACTTTGCCCACGCAGCCCCTCTCCAATGAATCCACCCATCAGCTGTGGAGCGGACCGCCCTTCCATGCCCCCCAGGAACGCTTCTACCTCAAGGTGAAGGGCAAAGACCACGAAGGGAACCCCCTCCTCCGTGTCTCCGGAGTTGCCTATACTGGGGTGGCTCCAGGTGAGTGATTGGCTCTTATGATCCCCAGATTTCTAGCTCACGTGGAGGCCCGTTTCTCCCTGGAAGCTTTCCCTGGTTAGATTAAATTAGGAAATGTTTTTCATTAAACTTCTGTGGGCAGCAAGCTCTGCGAGGTATTATGCTAAGTACTGAGATGCTTCAGATGTAGCCCTCAGCTCAAAGATTTAGTGCAAAGCCATCCATCCATCCATCCATCCATCCATCCATCCATCCATGCATACATGCACCCATCCATACCCATTCATTCATCCAGATATCTACCCATCCACCCACCTATTCATCTATCCAAATATTTGTCTACTCAAGCATCCATCCATCCATCCATCCACCCATCCATCCAAATATCCACTCACCCACGCATCCATCTACCCATCTAAATATCTATCCACTTGTTCATCCAACATTTATTTTGTGTCAATCCTAGTGCTGGACACTACAGACACAGCAGCAGGCAGGGCAGTGGGTATGGGTATGATCTTCCATTACCATAATCACCATCATAATCATAATCATGATGATACTAATCTAGCCATCACTCCCCATGGGACAGTCCTGGGCCAAGCACTTGCCATGCATTAGCTAATTGAATGCTTATAACAATTCTGAGATGAATCCCCATTTTACAGGTGAAGAAACTGAGGCCACCCACCTCACCGGGTTGCTTTGAGAGTCCCATAAGCTAATGTGAATAATAAGACTGCTCAGAGGCAATGCCCCAGACATGGGAATTATGGACCAGGGACCCCCACAGGTGGCAGTTACTGTTACTGTTACACCTTGTGGGTACAGGTTATTTTGTGGTCCCATCTGTGGTTCCCACATGTGTTGGCTTTTTGCTGGTTTCTGGTGTGTCCCTGAGGTCTCACGTCCAGGCTGCAAGCTCCCAGAGGGCAGGGCAGAGTCTCTGGTACCCCAGCTCTGCCTCTGATCCTTATAGGGGCGTCTGAGTTCCCCTGGCCATTGGCCTCCTTAGTGGGCTCCATTCTCTCCCCGCTTTCCCATGGTGGTGGCCTGGGAGGGGCTCACAGACGTGGATGTCACTAACATTCTAATGTCTTCTTTGCTGGGATCTCAGCGAGGGGCAGACGAGTCTGTCCACTTCAGTGGGGGTGCAAGGACAGCGCCAAGATGCCCATGGTGAGGTGGAGGACTTGAGGACCCTTCCTTCGAGTCCCCTGACCTGCACTCCCCCATGGTGGTCCCCAGTCCCCCCTCCCTTGGCCTTTGCAGCTTTGTGAGGAATTTTCAGGGAAGAATTTCCTCAGGGGAATAACAGCCTGTTTCTCCCCATTTGTTCAGATGGACCCGAGAATTTGGAGTGTAGCTCTGGCTTTTGGTCTCCATCCCAGCTCTAGATTAAAGTGTGTGAGTGGAGTGGGGCAGGGGTGTGGTTTGGGTTTTTGCTGCCTCCCCTACCTTCCAGGTTCGGGAGGCTGGGAGTTTGGCTGAGAACAGGAGGCTCTGGGTTTGGAGACATGGGGGTGGTGAGGGCTGGGCCTGGGGTCCTGCAGCCCTTTCAGCTCATGGAAGAGAGCCTGAGCTGGCCTTGCAAAGGCTTTCAGTGTGTGGGAGGGTGAGTGGTAACTGCTTTGCACACAGCTGAGGACGTGACTGGATGGTCCAACACCCCTCTCCCCTGGGAGGTGGCAGGGAGCCTATAGCATGACGTCACCCGCCACCCTCCCACCCCCAGCTCTGTGTTCAGAGGAGGTCTGGCACGTTGTCTCACCCTGGGAGCTTCTCTGGTGGGGGTGGCGGAGAGGCAATACAGGGCTGAGTACACGCCCACGATCACCCAGCAAGACACTGACGCGCTGCCACTGACCCTGGGGGGCAGTTCTCAGACATTCCCATTGAAGTAACGCCTGTAACCAAGGAGAGAATGTGTCACCCGAAGGCCAGGGTCAGGAGAGGGGCAGTGTCATCTGACGGAGGCCCCAAGGGGCTTATTAAAAGCTGTGAGATTTCATTGAAGTCTCTTATTTTATCTCAAAAATTCGTGTGAATTTTGCACAGACAGCCATGCTCCAACTATGCTTATTTTTAAATAAAAAAGGCTTCCTGCCAACATCTTTGAGTAGAACTGACCCTTGAAGCAGACCCATCCCCACCCCTGGAGAGCCCAGTCTGGGGAGCATTTCATCAGATTTCAGGACTGGTCCAACTTCCCTGTCTGATACAATTGCTGAAATGGTGGCACAGACTGGACCGTGTGGGCCAGACTTCTCACAAACCATAAAGACAGCACGAGCTTTAATTGACGGGCTTGCCGTGCGCTGCTCACATGCCAAGTACTTTCCACACACCACCCCTCATCAACTCCTCACGACAACACGATGCGGTCGCACTGTGATTAACCCCATTTTACAGAGGTGGAAACTGAGGCTTGGAGAGATGACGCCGCCTGCTCTCGGTGACCAGCGATGCTGGAGCCAGGGGTTGAATCCGGCCTTCTGGCCCCTGGCTCATCCCTGTGGGTCTCTGTGTTGCTGGATGTGGTGTGGGCAGGGGCAGGGCAGGCTCCTGAGTGCTGGTCTTCGCCTCCAGGTGCCCCCCTGGTCAGCATGCCCC